AACAAAGCAAATGATTACACCAACACATTTTTAGCCCTAAAATGCCCTAACTCTCATACAGGATTATAAGCTTTTAAGATGTGCTCCCATTGGTACTATATTGCATTTGCCACTGCTCCCTTCATTCCTTATAACTTTATCAACTTTCCTTTTTAGGATGTTCTACTAACTTTGTCACCTCCCCTTTTAAGTAAATAATTTGTGATTCCACTTAATTTTATCTCCTCCACACAATCCTCACCAACACAGTTTTTACTTTTTTTGGAAACATTCTTCTAAATCTATTATCGTATTTGCTCTTGATAATGCCAACATCCTTGATTGGAATGAGACTCGAACCTGCGACTTCCTCTTTGGAAGATCCGCAATGATATCATCAGACCACAAGGTACTTGGCATTTTTTACTTTATTAATACTCGTAACGGTCAAACTCCATAAAGTTATTAGGGAGGAAGAGAAAGTATTAGAAGCTGTTCTGTTCGTCTTAATCTTATTACTTATTGCTTATTCTTATTTTATTTAGATCAGATCAGATCAGAAAAATTCAGACCAGATCAGATCAGATCAGATCAGAATCATTCAGATCAAATTATTATTATTATGATATTTATTATTATCATGATTATTATTATTCTTATTACTATTATGGTTGTTGTTGTTATTGTTATTAGTTTTTTTTGTTATTATTATATTACACGGAGTAATTACAATTAAAATTATAGAAATAATTATAACTAATAATATAATTACAATTATAATTATAATTTTTTTTGTTTACTCCAGGAGGCGTCTGGGGGAGGGGGTCTGGGGGGCTGAAGTAAACTAGGTTGAAACTCACCCCATTGAGTTTCGAACCTGAGACCTCTCATAAGGGAGAGTGAGTCGGCGACCAGCTGAGCTGGACCGCTTCCTCTAATTATAGCTATATTTATAACTATTGTAATACATATAATAATAATTATACCTATTATAATTATAATTATAATTATAATTATAATTTTTTTAAAATTATGATTATAATTACATTTAAATTATATATGTGTAAGTACATTTCTAATTATAATAATTAAAATTAAAATTATAATTATAATTTTAGAAATATTTAAATCAGATCAGATAAGAAGGATTCAGATCAGATCAGGAACATTCAAATCAGATCAGGAACATTCAGATCAGATAAGAAAGATTCAGATCAGATCAGACCAGATCACGAAGATTTAGATCAGATCAGAAAAATTCAGATCAGATCAGAACTTTAAAAATTCAGATCAGAAACATTGAGATTTTTCGGGCATTGACTTGATTACCCGTGACCGGATTTTTACAACGTAGGTGGGACCCCCGCTAACACTTTTGCCCGCCTTTCGTTCGTACCCGCCGTAGATAGCTAATTCTTTAGTTTGTGGTCCCCACGAGGTATCCAGTATCAGCGAGTTTAAATATGAGGCGTTTTGTCCTAATCCAGCAGCAGTTTTATTCAAATCCCAGAACTGCACACAGAGTAAAATACCTGGTAGATTCTGAGTAGACGGAAATGAAGAAATGCCGCATGAATCTGCAGGGTTTCTTCTCCGATCAAGTAATGGGACCGGCAAGATCCATTCTTTTGGTTGCCGCCTTTGCTGTTTCGGCGGCGGCGGCTCTGTCGCCGCCCTCCCCCGACGCCGGTGTAATGCTAGAACTGAAGAAGAGTCTCACACCGCTGCCGACGCGGCTTAGCGATTGGAACGACAAGAATGACATTTGCACATGGACGGGTGTGAAGTGCAACGATCATGGCCGGGTTTGGAGGATCGTGATCTTCAACTCGAATCTCACCGGGACTCTGCCGGAAAGTCTCGGAAACCTCACGGAGTTGATCGTCTTCAACGTGAGCAACAACAGGCTCACCGGGAAAATCCCGGACTTTTCCCGGTCGGTCGGGCTCGAGAAGCTCATCGTTGACCGCAACTCGTTCACCTCATTCGAGCCGGAGCTGTTCGTCTCCAAGCGTAACCTGACAATCGTTGCTCTCGACTACAACCTCGCTCTTCGCCCATGGAAGATCCCCGACACCTTGAAGTGCGCTTCAAACCTCAAGAGTTTCACCGCACCGAATTCCAACATGGTCGGACGGATACCGGAATTTATCAATGGGGTCAATTTCCCCAAGTTAAAAGAATTTGAGTTGCCGAACAACAATTTGTCCGGCCCGCTCCCATCCAACCTGCCCAGATCTTTGATGTTTCTGGGGCTTAGCAACCAAGGCGGGCCGGACAAGTTGTGGGGCAACATATCTGTCATAGGGGGCTTGACCCGACTTACCCAACTCTTCCTACACTCTAACCAGTTTTCGGGTCCAATACCCGACTTATCCCGCCTCCTTTCATTGAAAGAACTCACCCTCGGTAGCAATCGGCTTACGGGCCCGATCCCAGATTCAATGGGTAGCCTCCCTTCACTCCTAGAAGTGAATCTAGCCAACAATAATCTGAGTGGCTGTATCCCCGAGAGTCTTACTCGTTCGACCCAACTTCAAACACTGATTATTTCTAATAATAAGCTTACCGGCTCTATTCCTCAATTCTCTACAGGGACCCAATTTAGAATATTGGTTCTTTCCAATAATCTGCTTACTGGCTATATTCCTCCATCCATTACAAATTTAGCTTCCTTAACGTCACTCGATCTTTCTAATAATCAGCTTAGTGGCGATATTCCTCAAACCCTTAATTTAACTTCCCTATTGATACTTGATGTTTCTAAAAATCAGCTCACTGGTTGTATCCCCGAAACCTTTGAGAATTTAAACCACCTACTAACGCTCAATGTTTCTCATAATCGGCTTAATGGCTCTATCCCTCAAACACTTGCAAAAATAAACTCCCTGGGGACACTTGATGTTTCTAACAATGGTTTTACCGGCTCTATCCCTCAAAACCTTGTGAACGTAACCTCCCTATGGACGCTCGATGTTTCTAATAATCAGCTTTCGGGCGATGTCCCTGATTTTCCTCAATCTAGGTTGACATTGACTACATGCGGAAATCTCAGATTATCATCTGACAAAGGTAAGAAATGTGAGAGCTCATGAGGATGATGATGATGTTTAGTTTGAAGGTTTCTCATCTTCTTCAGCCTCATTAATCATGTTTTGTCAACGGTTATGTTTGTTGTTATTTCCATACTTATATCTGTTGTTTTAAATTAAGATGATATATGTGTCCATGTAAACTATATATAGTGGTTACGTTGTTATGGTGTGTTAAATATTATCTCATCCTGCTTGTGCTTTTATTTAATTTGTGAATTTAAATTCTTTTTTGGGAATCATTCTCGCTACACAGACACACTTAGAGATGGTAATTGTGGCCGATCCGATGGATACCCGCACCGAACCGCCCCGGTCAAAACGGGGAAAACCGCTTTGACCGGATAACGGGTACGGGGCGGGCAATACCCGTTTTGTTTTTACGGGTAATGAGGCGGTTACGGTTTTATACATGCCCGCCCCATTATCCGCCCCGTGCCCGCCCCGTTTATTTTTTAGTTATATTTTACTACATTCTTATCTATTATTTGTCCCACAACTAATAAAAGATGATATTTTTCAATTTTCATTGGTATATATGGATAATAGATGTACTAACTATATAGTGTATGAATTTTGTTCATAATAGATCTTAATAGTCTTTTTTATTATAATCAGATTTTTCCGTGATTAATTATTTTTCAGATCAAGTATTTTTTATGTTTAAATTAATTTAGGTTGTTTTTTTTCTCGATTTGTAGATATACGAAACTTTAAAATGGTGTCTGAGTCTAAAGTCGTCTCGGTGATACCATTTTTCGCCTTTTAAAATATTATTTTTATATTAAAATATCAATGACCCATTTAATAAAGCGATTACCCGCAGTTACCCGCAGTTATACCCGGTACCCGTTGGGGCGGTTATGGTTTGGGTAAAAAATACCCATTGGGTAATGGGGTGGTTATGGGGCGGAGGAATTATCAAACGGGGCGGGTACGGTTATATGTAAAACCGTCCCCGATCTGCCCCATTGCCATCCCTAGACACACTCCCTCTATTAATTTTATCCCTGTTTTTTTGAGAAATGTCTCATCTTCTTTTTTATACCTTTTTATAATATTTTCTTAAGACTGAAATGTTTTTCTTCTCGAAATAGGAGTCGTTATTGCTATGATTGAAAAAAATTTAGTCTCTAATGGAGGTAAATATTGTACGTGATGTTAATGTCTAGTAGTGCACATATTTTAGCAACAATGACTCCAAGATATAGTAGTGAATAATATTATGTTACTTATAAGAGAACTTTCTCTTATAAAAATCGATATAGATAGTATGTAAAAATGGAGGCAATGCCAAATTTGGTTGTTAGGTCATTGATGGGTTAAAGCATAACAATTTTGGCAAGCCTCAATCCTACCCATTTGTGTGATCACATTGGTTCAAATACAAAATAATAATAATAATAATACTAATAATAATAATAATAATAATAATAATAATTTATTTGTCCCAATATAAATGTATTTTTGTTTGTTATAGGTATTTAAAGTGAGCGGCACGGGGGTAAATGGTGATTGAATATATAGGTATTTAAAGTGATAGTTTTTGTACAATATAATTATAGCCCTAAAAAGGAAGTACGTGTTTTTTTTCGGAGAAAATGGTTTATATTAAATCATAGAATCCAACCAAATAACAACAAGACCAGACACAGTAGACAAGAAAGAAAGACCAGAAAACATTATTCGATTGTACGTCGTGAGACCAGACTCATAAATTATCACTTACTCAGGAGCAATAGAATTCGTTAATCCCCACTTGAGCAACTGTAAACCAATCGTGATCGACGATGTATTCTCGTCACTTATCCTATGTTGTACTTGTCACGATCCAAAAGAAAAAAAAACATTATTGTAGATCTAACACTAAATACATCAATGAAAAACAAAACAACATAACCAAACATAGCGCAAAAACAAGACCATAAAAAATAATAGAGTTAATTCCCTAAATAGGACTAAAACAATGAGTAAATGCACAAATAGAACTTACATGTTTCATAGGACTAAAAATACATTGGTTTGACAAAATCACCCTTAATGAAATTCTTAATATATTTACAATTAAAATTTAAAAATCTAAACACATTTTCAAAACCCTAGTTGCGGTACTGGACCGCTGATGCCTTGTACCAAAAATGCTGTTGCCACCCTCTATTAATCAGCCGCCGCCGCCCTACACTCGACTCCGCCGCCCTCCATCGGCCGCCGTCTCCTCCCTTTATCGGCCTCCCGGCCTCCACCACTGCAAATCCTAGCGCCTTCATCATCAATGCCATTAAGTTGGCAAAATTTGTACCAAATTAAATCTGTCATTAAATTGGCAAAATCTTCAATTAGAGTGTAATGGAAATATTTTTCTGCCACAATATAATTGCTAATATCTATTTAATTGCTATAAATTTGGAAAAATATGCAGGCAACATCCAAAATCAAATAATTCAAATTTATACATGGAATTAGATGTTTAAACGTAAATCTGCCATAAAGTTGGCAATATTTTGAGATGTGTATAAAGAGAAAGCTTTTCTGCCATATAATAGCATTGCCACTATACACATAATTGCCATAAATGTGACAAAATATGCAATTCAACTACATCCAACCCACAAAAAACAAATCTTTAAAAAAAGAAAGTTTAACGAAATCAAACTACGAAGTCTGTGTGCGAAAATCAGAAAACTACTAGAAAATTCCTTATTTGCAATGGACAAATTTCATTGCAAAATATTGAATTCCGTTGCAAATCTCGATTTGCAACAAAAAACGCAACAAACACAATCTCATTGTAATAAAGGTCCTTGCAATTTTTTGCAACAATATGTGAATCTGTTGCAATGCTTTGCAATGGCATTTGCAACGTATCAGTTTTCATTGCAATATTTGCAACATAATTAATTTGCTTGCATTTTGCGTAGCAAAAATTGCAATGCAAGTGTTTCCATTGCAACAAATACAATGCAACAAATACAATGGAGCATGACTCTGTTGCAAATTACCGTTGCAATATAAACGTATTGCAACAAAATATTTGCAATGATCGCTTCTTCCATTGCAAATCCATTGCAAATCTATAACTGCGCAACATAATAATATGGCATTGCAAATTCTCTTGCAATTATTGCAATAGTTTCATATACATGTTGCAAAATCTGTTGCAACATACTTTCCCCCTTTTTCCCCGCCACAATTGCAATGAATATAATTTTCATAGCAATATCCGTTGCAATATTGCAACACCTTCCTATTGCGTTGCAAATGTAATTGCAATATTGCAACGGGAACAAGTCTGTTGCACAGTTCTGTTGCAAAATGTGATTTTTCTAGTAGTGGGGGAACAATCGTTCTGAAAAATCAGAAAATAAATCAACAAACAATCTGCAAAAAAATAAAATAAAAGTCATTCAATACGAATATAATTTTTTATAAGAAAAACAGAGAACAAAGAAGAAGGATCAGAGAAGAAGGAGGAGATGAACAAGAAGGGGAAGACAAAGAAAAAGACGATACCTGGATTTGGCTCAAAATCGACAGCGATGGCGGAAAATGTAGCATCGTAGAGAGGCATCGTTGTGGAGATGCGGCGGCGTAGAGGTGGTGGTGACGTTGGAGAATATGAGTGACGGTTGAGATGTTTACGAGAGAGATGGGTGAGGCACAGGGAGAAGTGATCGAATGAGGGAGATGAGTGTTTAGGAGTTAGAGTTTGTTCTTATATAGAAGGGTATAATGGTAATCCGGAGTCATATTTAGGAAATTAAAAAGGCAGAGTCTTATTTAGGGAATTAAGTTTAATTTTAGTCCCATATAGGACAATTACTTAAAATAATAAAAATAGTTAATGCTCCAAACTTCTTCCTGCCAATTTTCTTGATCACTGCGGCGGCTCGGGGGGTGGGGGGCACCGATCTGTCTTCTCCCTACGCTAGCTCGTCATCTACGTCCACAGTGAAGCCTTCATTCTCCTCCTCTAGGACCATTCCTTGTTAGACATGTACCAAAACCTCCACGGTTGTCGTGGGTGACTGCTGCGTTTGTTCCAGAACTCGTTGAAAACTCCCGTGCTTGTTCTTGCTGAAATCCCCAGAAAATAAAAATCAAAATCAGGCCGCACGAAGAAATCAGCGGAGAAGCAAACCCTACGCTGCTACGTGAGGGATATCCGTGACTACAAAGGGTTGCTAGGAAGAAGCAAACCCTAGTGAGAGAATTTTTATTACCGAGACCCTCTCAAAGGAAGTATGTGACACCGCACCCGAACGTCCTTGAAAATTCAATTTAAAATTCGAAGTTTATGTATTGAATTTCCTATTACCAAACAATTGTAAAACGATTGATGTTTTACGTAGTGCATGATTGACTATTGTACTGTTCGAACTCGTATATTAGTGTCGGGCTTGCAAATACTTATTTGGGACTTGTTAATAAATATAAGAGCCCAACATTATCTAAATAATGATACATAACCTTTCAAGACAAGTTGAGGAAGGTTGGGCAGCCCAAACATTATTTTGGGCCCAACCTTCTAAAAATAGTAAGTATTCAAGAATGGTGTCCTAGGCCCACTCGAGGGTGACCCACACGGCTTGTAGCCCAAAAATGTGAATAATAATGTCACAAACAAGTGTTAAGATGATTAGAGAAGAATACAAATGCCCATGGTCCCATCTTTGACATTATTGAGCCAAATAATGGGAATAAGTTTTCTTCTATAATTCTCATCACATGAATTATTGGGATGATCCTACACATATTGGGAATCAATAATATGATGTAGGGAGTTGACTTGGTCTATATAAATTACAATGAGTACAAAAAGACATCTTTTGACAAGAGATAAAACAATAAGAACCAATTTTTCTATTTTTGGATGTATTGATTGACATTTTGCTCCCAAAATAATTGGGGAACACCATGCTACGCCCATCTATTCCATCCACCTGAAAGACAAGAAAAATAATGTTAGGGGGCGGCCACAGCTGACTTTAGGGGCTGAACTTGACAAAGGAAGCAAAGAGGGAACCCACCTAGTCTATTTTCGCACAATAAGGGAGTGCTGTTTGTCTCCCTCCATAAGGGAAGTTATACTCGACCAAATAATGTGAATAAGGTGTCATTTGATAGAATTTGAAGTCTATTTTCATTATTGAGTGGTTTCTGAGCGAGAAGAGAGAGCCTTACAGACGAAAATCGAGCTGGAGTGAACTGCTGTGTGTAAACTCGAGCAGAGAGAGTGTTGATGCTGTTTGGTTGATATATCGAGTTATACCAATCCAAACAAGGCGTGTAAGATATAAAAAGAAAGTTCTCAAGACGAGGAATTCGTGAAGGTCTGGGTTGCATCAATCTGAGTAGTGGAAGGCTTCCAAATCATCCAAGCAAAACACAACCTCGCAGAAACGGATCTACTCTTATAAAGTGAGTTTTAACCCCAAAACCTTTCCTTTCATTTTCCAAATGATATGAACGATTGGTGGAACTATTATACACTACTCCAAGTGTATAATATGTCCTTATAAAGTTATTGTATTGATGTAAAAGTTAGATACTAACCTAGAGCAAATCTTGGAAAAACTAGGAAAGGAGTTCACCGGAAAACACCCTTTCTAGGGGCTGTTTTCGTATCATTGGTTAGGGGTTGAGCTAGCACTTGGAGGAGGATGTTTAACACTCATTTGTAAGTAAGGAATCAGTTCTTAATCCACCTTGACCGAAGCTTTGACCATTGGATGAAGAAGGAAAAGTTTAAAGCTCAATTAAGGTGAGGATCGACATCTAATTGCTTACAACTTGTAGGTTAAGCATGAGATTACCTAAATGCCTAAATCATAATTTTTCATGGATTATGATGAATAAATATTGATGAAATATTGATATAGTTCCCAAAGAATGAAATTGGAAATTATTTGGAGGATGTATGAATAATATGAGATTAAATGAGTTATAAATGAACTATTTTGTGAAATAGGGATTTTACTCATGTATGAATTATGTGGATACATAAATGAATATTTATGTATTGAGATTGAATACTTAAGTTGATGCTACATGCTTGTAAATATGTAGAGAATTACAAAATGAGAGTATTTGTATGATAACAATAATCTTAATAGTATTGAAATACTAGTTAGTGATTATTGGAAATTGTTGATAGAATTGATCTTAAGGATTGGATTTCATGAAATGCACTTGAATATACTTCAAGTGTATATAATGACTTAGTATGAAACTAAGGTTAAGTTATGGGCAGTCTTTAAGGATGACCCATGGTAGCTTATTGATATGTCAATTCTAGGCATAGGTTTGCTTAGGAATTGGACTTTAGTGCATGGTGATGTAATAGAGCCGAGCTCTAGAATGCATGGTAAGGTGGTAGACTTGTAGTCTATGTATTGTATAACTAGAGCCGAGCTCTATGGCTTGCGTGGTGATGTGATAGAGCCGAGCTCTAGAACGCAAGGTAAGGAAATTGACCCAAGTGACATGAATTGTATGGTGATGTGATAGAGCCGAGCTCTAGAATACAATGTCATATGTTAGGGTTGGACTCTATGAGTTGTCGTGGCTTATAGTCACGGGGAATGGGAATGGTGATTTCTAAATGAACATGGGCCCACGGGCCGACTACTTGACTTTTATATAAAGTAAGTATAGTTTCAAACGGGGTAACTTAGGGTTACAACCTGACGAGCACTTTGTCGTAGTGTGCCCCAAATTAAATTCACTACTAAGGGCTAATACCGTAATATAGCGTAGTAGAGTTCGTATCCACAGGGAAAAGAGTTTTTTGCGTATGTGTAAGCGTAATAAATAAAAGTAAACGGAAGGGGAATTGGGTATTTTGATAATTGAGAAAGCAAATAAAATACTTAAATGAGTGAAATAAAATATCAAAGGTAATTAGTCTTGGTTTTGCTTTTATCCACTTAATGAAATGTTCGTCGATCCCGGTTATATCTTTAACTATCTTCCTCTCGAATACTCAATCGAGTAGTATATCCAGTTCATCGAGGGTAGTTATTAATAACGAGACGCGTTCATTAATAAAACTTACTACCGAATTAATATAGAACACGCGCCGTATATTTACTCGATAGTAGCAATAAATTCAAGATGAAAACGATTGAAATTGATAACCTCAACACAAGCGGTTTATTGGTTTAATCAATATAATTAATTCCCCTTAAATTATTAAGCATGAGACGCATGCATTAATAATCCAAGTTTACTACCGTGAAAAGATCGAACGATTAACAAGCGTATTCGTCGATCTATTCTAGTAATAATTAATATATGAGACAAAACTAGTTGATCCTTTAAGTAATGCTCAAAATATTAAAATGAAATATGAATAGGAATTAATTAATATTCAAGGAAGAATATTAAAGAAGATATAAATCCTACTATAACTAATGTCAAGATGTTAACTAATTGTCATTTTAGTAACACTCCCCAACATTAATATAGAGGAAGAAAATAAATACTACTCTAACTAATGTCGAGATGTTAACTAATTGTCATCTTAGTAACACTCCCAAACATTAATATAGAAATAGTATTAAGGGAAAAATTAATATTCAAGGAAGAAGATTAAAGAAAATAACTCACAAGTTACAATTCATTAAGCTTCAAAGTAGCAAAACCAAGATGGAAAGACTACCTAAATTACAAGAATAAAGTGTATATGAAAGAGGGATTAAATTGGTATCTAAAATAGGAAGGAAAGAGGTGTTTTTATAGGAGAAGTGAGGTGGTTGGGTCTAAGACATAATCTGATTTTCCCATGTTCATTTGCGTTATTTGATCTCTTATGATCTCCGGGTCAAATCATATCCGATTTTTCACATTTTTTTGTTCTCCATGAAGCTTCCTCTTGTCTCCAATGCTCCTTCCTTATGATCCCAAGCTCCTTCCTCTTCTTTTCATCATGTTTTTGCTTACACATCAAAATATCTTAATATCTTCTAATTCTACTTTAATTTTAGAAGATAAAGATTACACCTTAATTGTACAAAAGCTAAGTAAACATAATGTAAAACCATTCTAAAATGTGGTGTTTATGCACTACTAAATAGTACACATCACAACCATATTGTACTATCACCCTATTTGAGGGTCTTGTGTTTGAAATACTTGTTGTATATCTATTAGATGCCATCCACACCAGTACTTTATAGCCCTATAGAGTACTGACCCCTTCGGGGGCGTCTCGCCACCATTTCAGGTTGAGGCTAGAGCTTGCATCCTGTGCTCGTTGATTGAGTGATTCCTCGGAGAGAAGACTTGGTTCGTGCTTCCTCCATTCTATTTGAAACATTAATAAATTTGCTTATGGATATTTAAATTAGAGCCTTCGTGCTCATGTTTGCCCTATATGGCATTTGATTTCAAACTATGTTTCCGCTGCGTATTGAATTGTTTATTATGTATGTTTATGGATGACATGTGTGAATGATATTCATAACGCCTTGTATAATATGGATATGGTTGACTACGGTTGACTATTCATGTTGTACGGCGGGTTGTTGACGTGTCCAGGTAGGTCCGGGGCGTGACAAAGTATATGTTTACAACATGTAAAAACTGAAAGTATGAAAGGATAAATTGAGAAAAAAAACTGGCGGAATTCAAAAATATTCATATCTTTGAAGACATATTTAAAA